CCAGCTGTAAGCTATTGAAGTGTGATCTGCACTTCAATAGCTTATTTAAAGTGTAAAGGTGATACTAGCGGTCTTTTGGACCCTCAGTCATGCCCGGATTTCCCACAAGGCCACCGAGGCCTGGCCTCGGGGCAGCAGAGAGCAGAGGGGCGTCAGAGCGCAGAGGGGCGGCAGCGGTGACCTTGTGGGGAAGTTGCGGGCGCCGGTGTAAGGTGTCCCCGCGGCGGCCCGTAGTGTGCAGCCGATTGTGGAACCTGGCCTTGGGGCGGCATGGAGAGTAAATACGGCCCTGCCCTCAGTATCACCTTAAAGAGGACTTTTCACCACCACTATGTTATCACATGGGGAGCTTGTATGCGAAAATAATTAAAAAAAATGTTTTAAAGTCTCACGCCCCCACATCTTCACGTAAACACACATCGGGTGTGCCTACGTATGAAAACCATGATCGCGCTACACATGTTGGGTATTTTGCCGCGCATGCTGGAGTGAGAGCAACAATTCTAAGGCCAATATTTACACGTATCTCTAAATTGATGGCCTGTGGGGGCTTTTAAAGCATAGTCTATGGACTTTTTGGGGTACTGAAAATTGTTGCAGTTTCACGGACGCACACAATTTTTAACCTGGGCATGCTGGGTATCTATTTACTCATTGTAACCTCATCTTTTATATTGTATAAAGAAAATGGGTATCTTATTGTGTTTTGGGGCATTTACATTTTTCACTAAATTTGGGGGTTTGATAAGAAGTTGCGCTAATATCGTGCAACTTAAAAATTTGCAACTGCTGCCATTTCATTCTATAGGGTCTTGGCTTTCAGAAAATATATAATGAAGAAAAAAAAGGCCTCAGTCATGAAGGGGTTAATATAGTTTTATAAACATGTACTAGACTTTAAACATTTCATCTTGTATCTAAAAAAAGGTGATAAAAGAAAAACAAGAATATTAGGGAAGCTGATCTATTAATATAAAGTAGGTCATCATGAATATGTGACAGGCCTCAAGACAAAAACAATGGATTGTGCAGCAAGATATGGAAACAGCTCTAGTAATATACAAATATAATAAAGAAAGGTAATTATCATTCAGATGTATAATAGTTTTGTGGGGTGATCACGCCCTGCAAATATGAACAAGCAAAACAATTAATTAAAAGTGAACTAAAGATAAACCTTTTATCTAACTTTACTTCTCCTATTGGGTCACAAGAGTACCTTATGTACTCCGGTGACCAAAAGTCAGAAGGGAGTGGGCTAATGGCAGCTATCTGCTGACAGTGCGGAGCTGCAGCCAGGAAGGATCGCAACAAAATTTTGGGATTCACACCAGCTGCCTGATTGACACCTGGCTCTGCCTCTCAAGAGCCAGAACTAGCCATGCACACCTCCTCTCCTGCCTGTCCGTCCAGTAAGAGCGGGAGGAACAGAGAGGGTAGGGGGCAATATCTGCAGGAAGTGGTGACTGACAGTCACTGCTCTCTGCAGGGAGTAGAGATCAAGAGCTGATCGATCTGCGGTTTCATGATCGATCCGCTCTCGGTATAGAGCAGTGTCCCATAGCGGGTCAAAGCTGCGGGGGGAAGTATGTTTGATTCTCCCCACACTTCTCCTTTAAACTTTGAGCTTTTAAACGTTATGGCACACTTACCCCTTGGGGCTTATCCACACATTTCCGTATCATGTCCACACCAGAAAGATTTGTTCCTGGACCAAAAAAGCATCCAAATGTATCCCTATGGTATTTCTGGGCTCTGTTCACACCAGCGCAGTCCGTACCGGTCCAGCCAAAAAAAAAAAATACTGCTTGTCTCATTTTCTCTGGTCTGGAATGCACTGGAATGCATCAAAAGTGCATGCAAACACACTGGACTGCAGTGGTCTGCAGTAAAATTGCAGCAAAAATGCACTGCGTTTGCAGATCTGCTCCAGATACAAGGAGGTCAGATATGCCAGAAGGATCTCACCAATGTCAGGCATCTGGCTGGCAAGTATGTTTATTTTGGGTAAGGGAGATGCAACGCAGACTACTCTGGCACCGGCTAATTGACATAAACAACAGTACTGACTGGACATAAATGTTCACACCTGCCAGATCACCATTTCTTCCAATGAGTCCAGGCAGGCAGTTTCTAAAGATTGTCAAAGGCGTGTCACTAGATCCAGCCAGAAACAGCCGAATCAGATGAGCCAATGGTCAGAAGCCTGTCTCGGGGTGAACAGATATGGCCAAATTCTACACCAATCTAATTCCTGACACAGTGATGGATAGGAATAAGACGGGCGGGGAGAAGGCGGGGGAAGGGGCAAAGCGGGAGGGGGGGTCAAGTTGCTGCACCATGGGCCTCTGGGTTGTACTTGCCCCCTGGGCTAAAAGTTGCCAGTCAGCCCCTGCCTGAGGGGTAGTAAAATGAATGACAGACCATAAGAAATGTTTGTTAAAATACTTCTGCGCAACAGGCACTCATCCTTCTTCTTTTGCACTAAGAAAAGGGAAGGAAGAGTTTGTTTATTGCCAGACACTGAAATCTTTGTTTAGAAACAAAAATGTGTCTAAATTATACACTGTGTGTATGTATTATTGAATATTGTCCTACTTTGTTTTTCCAATCTTGGCATTCAATACAATTTCATATATAAAAGTCAGTTAACCCCTTCATGACTGAGGCCTTTTTGTTCTTTTTCACATTTTAGGCCTGAAAATTACTACAAACCCCCAAACATTATATATTTTCTGAAAGCCAAGACCCCATAGAATGAAATGGTGGCAGTTGCAAATTTTTAAGTTGCACAAAATTAGTGCAACTTCTTATCAAACCCCCAAATTTAGTAAAAAATGCATTTAAATGCCCCAAAACACAATTACGCGTGTTTTATTTTGTGTTGTGTATTTTTAGATGTATCTTATTTATTTTAAAAACTGTTATTTTTTTACTTTACTTTGATTGCTATCACATAGGGGGGCTTACAAGCCCCCCCCATGTGATAGCAGATGGTGGTGACGAGTACTTTTTAAGGTGATGCTGGGGGTCCAAAAGACCCCCAGTGTCACCTGTACACTCCAAAAAAGCTATTGAAGTGCAGATCGCACTTCAATAGCTTATAGCTGGGCTTCAGGAGCCCAGCACTGACAGCTGTGGGACCGGAAGTGATGTAATCTGCATCGCTCCCGGTCCCATAGAACGGGGAGGGGATAGACGAACAGATGTTCATCCATCTCCTCCCCAGCTCCCCGCCGACACCAGAGAACCCGGTCCCGGGCCCGTAGGAGGGGCAACGGAGCCCGGGAAGCGCGGCGGGGGTGTCGGGCGGCCCATTCACGGGACTCTAGAAGGAATCTGACGACATCTGAGTCGCCAGAATATCTTCTATTGTAAAGCTGACAGTCAACTTTACAAGTTTAAACAGAGTCCCGGCGGCAAAAGCCACAGGGAGTCTGTTTAAAAACCCCTGATGCTGGCGACGTACACTGCACGTCGTCAGTCGCGAAGGGGTTAAAAGGAGAATTATGAGGTGAGTGATTTACACTTATCCTCATAGTTCGAGCCGACGTGTGACATTGAAGCTGTCACAGGTCGGCTTTATTGATCGGGAAGTGAGTGAACATATACCGTCGCTCGCTGACTTCCTGATCCTCTCCGTGCAAAGAGTGGTGACTGAGCTTTGGGTCACGGGAGGACATATACTAACCTCCTCCCGGTTAAAAAGGTTACCCCACAGTTCTCTTTTAAAGAGGAACCTCACCCTTATCTTTAAAATGACAACAAAGGCACATTTAGAAATGTTTAGTAACGACAATCTGCAAACAGATACTGCAGGCTTTTTATTCTTTACATACCTTATTTTTCCTTTCCTTTTTTTTTCCATCTCACAGTGGCCATTTTTACTAAGGGTAGATTAATCCATCTCCCTTTACTTCCTGGAACGCTGGCACATGTGACTAGGACATGTGACCATGCACATCATCTCAGGGGGGAAAATGCCTTTCCCTGAGATCACATGAGATTTTACAGTTTACAGATGAGATTTCCCAACAATTCACTATGATGTAATCTTGCCAAGATGCATCTCTTAGGGCTTGTTCACACCAAATGCAGACCAGATCTGCATGAGTTTCTGCACACGCAGTGCAGTGGGTTGTGCCACGTTTTTTGCTGCGTTTTTGATGCGTTCAGGGCCGTTTTTGGTTTAGCTTAGAATGGCCTTTTAGTGCGTTCCAGTGTGTTTTCATGCATTTTTGATGCGTTTGCATGCGTTCGAGATCAGGTACAATAGGGCTTGCTGCAGTTTTTTTACATGCTCTGGAACTGAACGCTGCGGTGTGAACTAGAGCCCAAAATACCATTGGAATGCATTGGACGCAGTTTTCATCCGGTCTGTAACTTGCTCTGCTCCTGGAACGCGTTTGGTGTGAACAAGGCCTTAGGGATGGGCTACACTAATGCCTAAGATGACCAGGAAGTAGAAAAACAATAATTGTAAGTAAAATCAAAATATGTCTGTTTAACTAATGAGTGTAAGATGATTTCATATCAGCATGCAGAGCTGTATACTGATGTGCTTTTTAGTGAAAGGGGGTAAAGGTCCACTTTAAGTATAATGGGTCTGTCCATATTTTTTATACAATGTATATAGGTAGAGCAATTACAGTATGAGAAGATATGTCTACATTAGGAACATCAGTGTGAACAGGTATACAGTATGTGTTAGAGAGTTAGTTTACATACATTATTAGTTTATGGTTCCATTGCTTAGTCTATACCTTATGTTTTATTGCACATCTTAGACTAACCTAATACTTTGAAATAGGTCCTTAACATTAATGAGTGTATTGTTATCTACATAAACAGCACAGTAACCATTTATATCATAAATCTAGAGCAGGTAATGACAGTAAATGAGTTTACTTATGCCCTCATTTACTCTATCACCGATAAAGGACTCCAGCCCCATATATTGATGTTTACATATAAAATGTCATGCCATGTGTATCACTTACTTGCGCTTGTACTTAGCCAAATCAGCATCCACAACATCAGCAAGTGGCAGATTGAATAAACTAAAGGAGGCATACACTAACACCCTAAAAAGAGAAAGAAAAGAAAATTTCACTTAATGTTAGAACATATTACACAGAAATTAACATTCAAAATGAAATAGCAGAACCCCAGCCAAACTTTTGCTTTCTTTATATATTTTAGATGAAGGATTGCAAGCTCAGTCATATTTTTTATTGCGGGGGATGTCCTCTTATTCATCCCAGTTGTAATGGGGTGGGAGAGTTAGAACCTATGTAAGGTTTCTAGTACTGTGTTTATCCCTATTTAGGGGAGGTTCCCATACACTCTTATAAAGTGGTCACTGGAAAATGTTTCCATTTGCACACCCAGATAACAATACAAACCTAAAAGAGGAAGAAAAATCTCTCTATCATATAAATAATAACGGGTGATCATAAGCAAATGAATACAATTATTTTTCATAAAATAGTAAGGTGCCGGTGGATTTTGGGGATCATGTGTTCCCTTCATCAGGGCTTGTAATTTTATATAAAAAAAGCGATTCTAAAAAAAAAAAAGTATAAAAACTGTGAATAGCAAGTGCGATTTTTCAGTAGGGAACCTAATTCTTTGTGGCTAAATGTGGGAAAAAGAAGGTTTTGGCTGGAGTTACACTTAATGATAATATTTTTTTGTGAATCTCTTGCAAAGTTTCTGACCTGGAATTCTTGCTGGTAGCAGCACTTCTTTCAAACTTTCAAGCTGATGCTGGTAAGGCGGTGCCTTATGATTAGCAGCAGCATTGTCAGCCAGCCATACAGGCTCCCTCAATTGCCCGCTGAGTTCTGGTTCTGATAGGCAGCCCAATGGCCAACTGAAGTGCATGTGGCAGGCTGACAACACTGCTACTAATTGCAAAGCATTATCAGCCTGTAGCAGGAAGTGATGTTACTGGCAGGATCTCCAGGTAATAAGACTTTGCAACAGATCGCCCAAAGAAATTGCATAAGAAAAAACTGTGAGGCATGATTTCAGAGATACTGAAAAAAAGATTTTGGGATTATATACAATTTAACCTCTGACTTTTTTCCCCCAGATGCTTCCCGAGTAAGTGCTTCCAGGAAATCATACACTTTTCAGAATTGTCATATTGGAAAAAGGACTGCCAATTAAACCCCCGTTACTAATAAAGCAACGTCTTCTCACCACATCACATGTCTTATATCATACAGGGTTATTCGCAAAAGGGTGAAGAGTATGGAGAAGGCAGGAGAAGTGAACAATCTAAGCCAAAATAGCTGACTTGGAAAAATTCTCCATTTCACCTCACTTTCCAGTACAACTATGTTGTCCTAGAATGTTCACTTCTCCTGCCTTCTCCAAACTCTTCACCCTTTTGTGAATAACCCCGATAGTTTTAGAGTATACCTGTAACCTCCCTGAATCCTGGCAGCTAACCTTAAAAATAACAAATAGGCCCTGCCAAGTGCCAACAGGAACCTACAACTTCACAAACCGTTACCGCAGGCTTCACTGGGCGCTTCCAAAACTCTTACTTTTGGTAAAACCAGTCCAGAGGACTGCCTCCACTTCATCCCCTGATGAAATGCCAGGCCATAATAATAAATAGAAAGATTTCCACCAGTAAATTGTCAGATCCCCGGAGGACATTCTTCAGTTCCCTTGTTATAACCAGGAAGTGGTGCAGGCACCATTTTTAAAGCCAAACAAAAAAAAATGATAATTTGTTGTGGGGAGTCAGTGAAGGGACAGGTTTGCTTTGCCACACTTTTCAGAATTGTGTCACTATATAAAATGGCAGCTATTCTTTCTGTAGTCAACAGTGACACCCTTTACCAGTCTGGATTACATAGCTTGTGTGTTTCTGCAGTCCAAACTTCAGCTACGTTTCAGAGTCTTCCCTTGTTTACCTTGTGGTCAGCCAGTTTATTTTGGACAACGATAAAAAACATTGATATGTTCCAAGTGGATCAACTAGGAAATAAATTATTGACCACAATGATGCTACCAAGGTTTGTGTGAGTGGCACAAAATCAGAGAAATGTTGACTTTTAAATGTGATGTTGCTGGCCCCATATGTATTAATGTTTCTGCTACAATCAGAATATCTCCAGAGCCTACACTAACAAAAGAAAGTCAGTACTGGCAGCTCCCATACTTTCTCAGTTCAGGCAGTCCCCGGGTTACGAACAAGATAGGTTCTGTAGGTTTGTTCTCATGTTGAATTTGTGTGCAAGTTGGGACAGGTACATTTTTTAGGTGTAACTCCAGCCAAAAAAATTGTTTTTAATTTTGGATAGCATAGGGAACGATTGTTTTGCTTTGTGTCCCCATGTTCAGAAGATTTCACCTCACTTTCTGTCCCTGTGACAATTGAATTTGGAAAATTTTGGGTTGTCGTGGAAACAAGGATTGAGGATAAACCTTCAGTGGAGACACCTTTTTCCCCATGATATCTCTTACAGAAGTGAATTTCCCTTTCTAGGGGTAGATTTCCTCTCACTTCCGGTTGTCTCAAGGACAGGAAGTGAGATTAAATATTTCTAATGAGGATACAGACAGCAGTAAAAAAAAAAACCTCACAGTGACCCGGAAGAAGAGGCGGACACCCCTCGTCTGCATGTCTAACAAGAGCCAACTTCCTGTAATGTACGTTCAGTTCTACGAACCAGACCTAAAAAGGCGGGCACTCCTCGTCGGCACAAGCACAGTAGCATTACAACTACTGAAATGCTGCGCTGTACACTTTGGCTGCAGCCTGGGACCCCCTGCTGTACAGTAATAGCCTCCGTTTGTAAGTAGGAGTGGAATGTAAGCCGAATGTTTGTAACTCAGGGACTGCCTGTAGTGCACGATAACCCCACCGAGAGTCAGTAGGAACCAAACACTGTCAGGTCTTGATCCCACTATTGCATTATCATATGAGTTTGAAGTCCTAAATCAGACAAGCCCACATGAGGAGTGGCAACACAGGTTTATACATTTCATATGACTGTTAGAGAACTCTGAATAGGAAATGGGGCTTTTTTTAAATATAATTGTTATCGTCTTGAAACTGTATTAATGCCCAACACCGTGCCACAATACCCTTACCAGGGCTAAAGCAGTTATACATTTCTTTGCCTCGAAAACATCAGATTAGTACAGTACGGCGTTAGTACAGATTCTGCTGTACATCCAGGACACCTGGATGTAAGAACTGCAAATCTCATGCCTTCACCTCCCTCTTTTCCTGGCCATTCACATAACCAAGCCTAGGGCTATGTGTTTTGTGAATGGCCTGGAGGAGAGGAAGGCAAAGACATGACTGCAGTGCCGGGGTCTATAAGACCTGCAGTGCTTACATCTGAATGGCCGGGAAGTACAGCAGAAGTTGTACTAATGCCAACATGTAAACCAGCAGACTTGCCGGATGTGGAAATAAACTTGAATGCTAGAGGGTTGCTCTTGAGACAAAGGAATGTATAACTGCTTTACAATGGTAAGGTTATTGTGCCTGGATTTGGGCTTTAAGGTTACGTTATGTGTCCAGAGTAAATGCAAACATAACTTAACAGTGAATTTATTTAGCAAACATTACACATTATATACATTAAAGCAAATTTGTGTTTACTGCAAAGTGGTTAACTTGTCCACAGAACATAACAATATTTATCCAGTGGTATATGGTCATTCTAGTGTTTATGCTCCAGAGAGCACCACCAGAACCCAAAAGCCAAGGTGCTCTATTAGTCAAAGCTTCAACTATTGCCCATCCCCTCTCACCCTCTGCTCCTCATTACTGGTCAGTGAGGACATTCATTCCATTAAAAAAAAAAAAAACAATCAGTAGGTGAAGGTAATGATAGTGCTTCACCAATATTCTTAGAATCAGAAAGAAAAGGTCTTTTTAAGCATAATGGAGATGACATAGAATAAATCAGCCAACGCATTTCAGGCGTTAAGAAAAGTCCCCCTTTATTGTCGCTACCAGAAAAACAAGGAATATGAATTTGTGCTCCTTCACACCTTTGAATACCAACCAGAGGACTTCTTGAGGCTGTCTGGTACATGACAATCGGCTGGCCAAAGCCATTGAACCTGATAAATACTATTCTGCTTTGTGATACTGGATCTTAACAGTGGAAGACCCAGCGCCCCAAATCTATACATTTAGGAAAAAATTAAGACCAGTAAGTGGGTGGGGGGGGGGGTGTGTGTGCAGCACCGGAAGTGGGAGG